ACCAGTATCGATGACACTACTGGAAAACGCCATGGTAAAAAAAGTGGTCAGAAAACAGTCCAAACAAGTGACGAGACATCAGTCATTACAAACGGCCAGACATCTGGTCAGACATCTGGTCAGACAAATGGTCAAACAAGTGATCAAACAAGTGGTCAAACAAGTGGTCAAACAAGTGATCAAACAAGTGGCCAAACAAGTGGTCAAACAAGTGGCCAAACAAGTGGTCAAACAAGTGGTCAAACAAGTGATCAAACAAGTGGTCAAACAAGTGGCCAAACAAGTGGTCAAACAAGTGGTCAAACAAGTGGCCAAACAAGTGGTCAAACAAGTGGTCAAACAAGTGGTCAGCAAACAGTGCAAACAACTGACAAGACATCAGTCAATACAAATGGTCAGACATCAGGTCAGACAAGTGGTCAAATATCCGGCGCCGCGACAACTGGAATGAGTGAATCCATGTCCGGCACATCAGACGTTGGGACCAACTCTAAGACCAGTGGATCCAAGAGAAGGGGCGCAAAGAGCAGACGCATGAAAACCAAAAAATCGTCGCTCAGATCTGGGATCAGGTCTAAGAACAGGTCTAATAGAACTGATGAAATTAGCCGACATTTTGAGAAGGGAGACATGGAATCAGACTTCAAAATGGCGGGCAAATTATNGAAATTCATTGAACACAACAGAATATAATATAATATTCTATACATTTAATATATTATCTCGACTTCAATTCCTATTTATATGAAAGATATAATAAAATTCCTTACAGAGAGAGAGAGAGAGAGAGAGAGAGAGAGAGGGGGGAGAGAGGGGGGAGAGGGAGGGAGAGAGAGAGAGAGAGAGCACAGACACCACATAATTATTGCTACTAATATCTAAACCAACCCCTAATCCACTGAATTAGACGGTACTCTAACCGATGACCCGGACTTTGTGGACACCGCTGACGGCCGTGAAAACACTAGACGAAAGCACATGACTAAAGACCGTATTAGTAATAAATTACACTGGATTTTAAATCGCTATAAGAAGGCCAATAAAACCATTAATGCCAAGTCGGACGCTAAGTTGATGATGGAAAAAGAATTCAGAGAGCTTAGGTTTAACGCCCTACGTAATAAAACTGTTCGGGCCAAGGGGAACAAACTCAACGCCACCAAGTTTGCCAAGATCCGCAAAGCTAAGATAGGTAAAGCGGGCGACTTTGTGCATGCTAATACCGAGCCTCCATTTGAGCCTCTATTAATATACGAGCCCTCCCATGTGTTCGGCGCCAACAAGTTTGCCGTTTCGGACGAGATGTTCACTGAGGCGGAGACCAGGTTTGACTCGTTGAACAAACGGCTCGACAATAAGGCCTGGGATACCAAATAATGAATATGGTACTTTTTATTGAACATTTACCTATGTTGTTGTTTTGGTTAATTTATTTTATAATGATAAAATTCATTTTGATAATTTTTGATAATTAAAACTTGTTTATTGAATGATTCTGTGTACTTTTATTTATTATAATACTGCTTATAATAATTAATACAGTTAAACATGTTTATATAACCGTAAGAGAAAAAAAAGATTTTTATATCTACGTTAATTTGTGCATTAAAAATACAGTTAATTAATCACGATAATCATGCACTTATATTAGTAAACGTATTAATAAGCACGGTTAGTTGGCCAATTTATGTTTTACCAAGGTTCTCCTCGGCCGATTTAAACGGGTCATACTTTGAGCACCCTAAATCGCACTCGGTACGCCAATCGACCGGGGTCAGGTCGGCCACCGAGGCCACAAAATTATCAAACGTGCACTCAGCACCCTTAGCATCAGCACCTAGATTCAATTTCTTATCAATATCCTGTTTAAGTTTAGTTAATCTACCGGTTATATCGCTAACTAATTTTTCAGCTGGGTTAGTAGCGGCGGGGTTAGTAATACCTGTGGCAGCTCGTGCCGCACATTTGGTCAAGGGCAGTTTAATGCCCGTGTACGGCCATTTCTCTGTCTGGTCCATGTACAGGGCCCGCACCACGTGTTTATCGCCAATCTTGTGCAATTCAAATATGACGGCTCCGGCGAACGGCGGGTATTTGGGCTGCGGGTCACCCAAAGCGGATAACACCGATGCTATTTTGAAGTCATGCTAGGTCGATTATAAACATATAAATTAAAAATAATTAATTAGTAGCTTTAGTAATATTATTCATGATTTATAGTGTTTCTAAAAATAAACATTTTGTAATACTAACCGACGTATAAATAAAAACATTCTTGGTCTTATCAGTGTCCTTGGCGTTAATAACATTGTCCATGTTTTTCTTAAAGTCTTCGAGAATGGGTCCTGGTAAATATTTTAAAAAGTAACAAAACAAATAAACACACAAAAAACTTTAATTATCAAAACAAATCTAAACACATACCGGCCCTAAGTCTCTGGGCTTTGGTAGAGCTATAGAAAAAGTTAAGCCTATGGGACAACACGTCGCCCATACGGTCGTAGATCTCGGGTGTGGCCCACTCTGGGCTCTGGAGGCCATTTAGACGCTCGCAGCGAATGCAGTCAAACGCTTTGGTCACTGAATACATGTCGTCCTTAAGACCAGTTTTTTCTTTCGTGAATTTGTATAATTCCTGTTGTTTAATATAATTGATATTTAATGTTTAATTACCATGGTAAGTGTTGAGGTGGGGGTATTTTTTACCTGTATCTTAGGGTCGGCCTCGTATGCCTGTACTGCCGGTGTCTTCAAGTTGTTGTGCTCCTCGTCCTCAGCGCTCTGACAGTCTGGCTCTTCGTATAATATCTATGTAATTGTGTTTTACATTATTGAAAATGTTCATTGTATTTGTATTATTTTTTAAAGTTATAAATATTACTAACAAGAAAAACAATCTTGTTACAATATTTTATACACACTTTGTAAATATTTGTTGTTGTAATTTGTTTTTTATAAAATTTATATGAGATCACTGTTATTATGGTAATTATTTTTTGTGTCGGTGATTATTCAATAAGCATGATGAATATTTATTGAATCAATAAATTAATTAATTATTTGTAATTAATTACTAATTACAATTTAAAATTAACTAAATTTTAGCTAATTATACAGTATATTAAAAATATATGACATACGCTATCGATCTTCTGTGGCAATGAGAAAATCATCTGAAAAAACAAAAAACAAAATGATTAATTTATGGTAATAAATTATACTAGCTATTAATATGTAAATTACCGGTTGCCATTGCTTTTTCTCATCACTATCCTGTGGCCAAAGTTGCTTGGTCACAATGGACAGGGTGTCGATACAGCGCTGGGCTGCCGACGCTCTTAGGTAAGCTCGTTTGGGATTGGCCGTGATGAATTTACCGTACCGTTGCTTATAATACTTGCCCATGTTGTACGCCTGCTCAATGCCAGCCTGATGAATGCAATTAATTGGAAATAAGCCAATTAGTTAGCTTGATTAATTAGAATTTAATATTGTTTTTTGTTATAATTATGGTAAAGTTAGATACATCTGTTAATTGTGAGCCTCCATTCGGGAATCGCTGCGAGTTGTTGGCCGCGAACGGATCCAATGGGTATGTGGTCCACGGGGCTCGTATGCCGTGTCGCATAACCTAGTTGTTTATTATTCATTATAATTTATAGTTAGGTATGTTTGTAAATTTTTATTAAGCTAATTAATTTATTATTTTGTTTTTGTTAAATTTTAATTTTTAATTTTTTACATTTTGTATGATTTAAATTAGTGTTTGTTTTAAATATGGCTTAATTATGAATTAGACGTTTAAATAATGTGGTATATATGGTATTTTAAAGACTGTAATCATCAAAACACAATTAATTGTGTGATATTTAAATATTAACATTATGAATAAACTTATGGATTATTATCAAGTCCTTGATTAAGATTTATTTCATTAATAAAATTATTTTTATGAAATTTAACTTTAGCACATTTTTTTTAGCTGGACTATTTTATTTTATCAAATATAATTAATTTAAATCATACAAAATGTAAAAAATCAAAAATTAAAATTTAACAAAAACAAAATAATAAAT